GAGGACGGTCAAAGCATCTGGCTAGTGGCAGCTATAAGTAGGGTGAGGAGATTTAAAAACCCTCAAAATCCTTTGCAAAAACTGTCGCCGCGAACCAACTCCCCAAGTTAAGGCGTAACGCGACCCGTGCCGAGGACTGAATGATACTTGGGTCAAGGTATTGCAATCGGAGCCACTGAGACACCAGGTCATCTCCCAGAGTATCACGACCTTACTGCGGTATGCGGGGCTCTACCGTAGCAGACTGTTTTCCCTAGCTACTCGTGGGATCATATATGAATTCTAAAAACAATCAAAGTAACAGCGAAATGCAACAAAAGGCAACAGCGTCAACCTCGAAAGGGGATACGACGAAGGCAACGTCTCTGGCGAAGGCTGAACAGCTAGCAAAGAGGCGTAAAGTCATCGTCTCCTCCCTGGAAGAGGTAGACCAAATGCCCGAGGACGAGGTACACTCTGCCCGTCTAGGTGGACACTCAAGAACGAGGCTAAAGGAGCTCTTGAAAACTGGCCTTGATTACACAACCGCAAAAAAGGCAGGTGATCAAGGAAAATTTTCAAAGGGCCCAAACAAAGCCCCAAAGGCTAGAGCGTCAAGACAAGGCGAAAGAAGCTGCCAAGCAAGGCATAAAAGCTCAAAAACGCTCAAGGTCAACAGACGCAACACCGCCGCAGGTCAGCCGACTAAGGAAGAAGCTCAGGACGGACGAAGTTTCGTTCAAAGAGGCCCTTACCTCAGTAAAGGTTGCCGTAGTAGAAATAGGGTACCCGGAGATCAAGATGAGTCCAGAGAGACTAGGAAAAGTCCAAGACTCGATCTCCGAGGCCCACGACAAAATCCCCACAGAGGAAACACAGGTAAGGTTCGCCAAGTGCAGCCACAAGCCAGGTTACCTGGTCGTGACTTGCGCGGACCGAACCAGTGCAGACTGGTTGCGTGACATCGTCACAACCATTCAACCTTGGGAAGGGGCAAACCTGAAAGCGTTGGAGGGTAACGATATCCCTAGGCCACTAGCCTGCACAGCATTCGTCCCTGACGAAAGAGGACAAAGGCCCGAAGGGGATAAAATCCTCAAAAGGCTAAAAATAGCCAACCATGGGCTAAATACACACCTTTAGACGGTGTGGGGTAAAACCCCATCAGACAAAAATCAAACGTGGGCTTTTTCGATAGATCGTAAATCCTTAGCTAAAAAAAGCTGGACATGTCCCCCTACTATAACCTAGGGAGATTTAAATTCAGAGTCAAAGGAGGACATGACCAAGAACCCGCCGAAAAGGTGAATAACTCAGGCACAAGTAGGGAAGAGAAAACCAAAGAGTCCTCTACAGAGGAAAAAACCCTGGCAGAGGACGACGGGGTGAAGTCTTTCCACAGCAGGGAACAGGACACCAAAGAGTCCTCTTCAGAGGAAGAAACCTTCGTAGAGGACGACGAGGTGGAGTCTTTCTACAGTGGGGTCAGTCCCCTCAAGAGGCAAGAAGCCCAAGAGGTGACTGTACCTATGGAAATTGGAGAGGCCTCTAAGAAGGCAGACAAACTGCCCAGTTCACAGAACTGAGCAGATCGATCAGGGTTTTTCAGGTGAACCTCCATCAAGCCAAGGCGGCCACCGCTACGGTATGTAGGAGGTTCGACAAAGAGGGTCTAGATTTGGCCCTCTTGCAAGAACCTTGGTTACATGGCGGGAGGGTAGCAGGCCTAAAACCCAACCAAGGTGAGATTTTGTATAACGAAAGGTCTAAAAGACTACGCACATGTATCTTATACAACAATAGGGTAAATTGTGTACTAATACTGGTGCTGTGCACCGCTGATATTGTTACAGCTCTCCTAACAACGCCGACAGAGGAAGGAACAAAAAGATGGATAGTCTGTTCTGCATATTTCCCAGGCGAGGAGCTATGTCCCCCGCATATAATAGGCAAAATAGTCTCATATGCGGCAAGGGCTAACCTCCAACTAATCATAGGATGCGATGCCAATGCCCATCATACCATCTGGGGAAGTACTGACATCAATACAAGAGGTGAGTCTTTATTACAATTCATCTTATCTGAAGGTTTAGTAATTGCTAATATAGGTAATAAACCAACTTTCGTCACGGCAACGAGAAGAGAAGTCCTAGATATGACTCTGTGCTCGAGTATAGCAAGTGATAACATTTCAAAGTGGCATGTGTCAGACAAACCATCGTGCTCAGACCAGAGACAGATTAGATTTGATCTAATTACCCCACCTCAAATTTCAACCAAATACAGAAACCCTCGAGACGAACTGGGAAAGGTATTCAACATCACTTGGAGAGTATCTCGAAGAGGGTATGGTGGAAATAACAGGTGAACAAAGTCTTGACCGAGCAGTAGACCAAGTAAGTAAGGCCATTATAGCCGCTTACGAGGAAAACTGTCCGGAGAAAACAAGGCAGCAAAGAACAAAAACTGTCTGGTGGAACAAACACTTGGAACGCCTTAGAGGCGAAGTGCGAAAGCTATTTAATAAAGCCAAGTCAACCGAAGACTGGACCTTATATAAGGCTAAACTCACGCAGTACAACAAGGAGATAAGAAAGGCTAAAAGGCAATCGTGGAGGAAGTTCTGTGAGGAGTTATCTGAAACACCCACATGCTCTAGAATCCACAAAGTCCTAGCTAAAGAGGGTACTGCAAACCAAGTAGGATTTCTCAGGAAAGACGATGAAACCTATACAAAACCCTTCGAGGAAACGTTAACAATGCTCACAGAAGTAGAGTTTCCGACCGCAGAAATTTTGCTAGGCCCGATAGTAGCATACAGCCCTCAAAGAAGGTCTCGTAGGCCAACTCCTTTGGAATGGAGGCTAGCTACAGGAATATCGAGGCCGAACAAAATTAGATGGGCTACAAACAAATTTCAACCATACAAATCCCCAGGAGTAGATGGAATATATCCCATTCTACTACAAAAGGGACAGGAAACTTTAATTCCACATATGTGTCGCATACCCAGACAACACACCAAATCCCAGAGATATCCGCAGAATATCTTTTGTGGATATCCAATATATCCACAGAATATCAGAAATATTCCGTGGATCTAATATGGATATCCAAATGTCCGTCTATATCCAGGATATAGAAGATATCCTAATGGATATTCAGCAAAATATCTAATGGGTATCTTCCAGAAAATACAAGAAATCACAGAGATATCCACAGAATATATTTTGTGGATATTTAATATATCCAATATGGATATCCAACCAAATGTCCGTCTATATCCCAGGATATAGAAGATATTCGGATATTCAGCAAAATATTTTATGGGTATCTTTAGTAGAGGTTCATAAATAACCAATGATTATTGAATAACGTCGAAAGAAAATAGCAGAGATAAAAAATATTTTCAACACTCAAAATATTTTCAACACGCTGCCTTTGATTTTGCCCACTAAGGAGAAAGTCATCCTTATTAGGACTCTTCAGCAATAAATGAAAATTCTCGACTCCAGTCTCTAATGGAGTGATTAGGACACACATTTCGATCGAACTCAATTATGGCAGGTCGAGCATGAGTAGATGCGATAGTGGTATCGCCATCTATACTTAGTAAGCAGAATCAAATAACATCTAGTGGATATCCACGATGGTTTGCGTTCGCGCCTAGACTTTGATATATTTAGTGGATGTTCATGGGATATTGAAAACACCTTAAAAAAATTAATTTTAAATATCTGAACGGTACTATTAGCCACACTGGCGAGCACAATGGCGTAATTTTTTTAATAATTTGCTATATAATTACTATTATTTATGGACATTTGCATGTCTATAAATTACATTTCATGGATATAAAATAGATATCTACCATGGACTGGACATTCAGTGGATATTGGGATGTTCAGTAGATATCCAAAGGATTTGGTGTGCTGTCTGGGTATTTAAAGCATGTATAGCCTGGCGACATATACCATTATCAATCCGTTCTTGCAATTTAGTACTAGATGAATCTTTAACATTGTAGACCATCAAGTTGCTTGCTCGAGTAATGCGATCACGAATTTCGTAAAATACTGAGTCAGAGTTTAGCGAACTGGAGCCCTCAGTTTTTAAAGTTTGAATTTTCTCCTCAATGCTGGTAACCTTGTCCTCCAAGGAATTAACTTTGCTCTCTAGAGCAGCTAATTTATTTATCAATAGAGGAATTTTCTTGAAGGAAGTTTTGCAGTCTTCACAGAAAAAGATCATTGAGCGTTTTTGAACAACAATTGAACGCTGCTCACTGGCACACAATCCGGAGCACTTTTCATCCAAATGGAAAAAGACCCCACAGCTATCGCAACGGGGCGCCTTTCCATCATCGACAATATTGAGAGAGCATTTCTCGCATTTTGGAATTTTTGGCATCTTAACCTCAATGTATTTACATTAGTGAAAACTTAAGCAGAATGATGGTTCCTCGCGAAAAAATCAGATTAGGATAAACGGTACACTTTAATCATATTATCCAAAAGTTTTTGAGTAATTTCTAAACTCTCGAAAACACGAAATTTTATAGACCCAAATAACAAGCATGTGCAAAATTTTTAGGTCAGGTTTTCTATTTGCTGCGTTGTTGTAGTCCATTAATTATGTGTGTTAAAATAAAGGCAACCCCAGACATTGCATTTATTTGACACAATTAAGCGAACATCTATAAACGGTCTGCGTCATACTTCTGATCAAGTTAGATTATTCGCGCGTTTTACCTATTACGCGGTTCGCATACGCTGGCTTCGTGTGAACAACTAGACAATCTTTCATGTAAATAAGACGTGCGCGGCTGATCTGCGCGGATGAGAACCGCGTGGATTCCGCGGCGTCTGAACGAGGTCTAATGCTGCATGAAATATGTATCTTTACTGTAAAGAGGCTTCAACAACCTTAAAATTGTTTCACTGAAAATGTGCCGAATGTTTTTTCTTTAGCTTTTGCCATTCTGATTATTCCACTAACGTTTAAATAAAAAGTGCTAAGTTTATAAAATAACTTATTTAATAAAAAAAATTATATCATTATATTTTACAATATACATCAGAACTAAACATTGTTATTCTTCCTAAATGTAGACAGAAACAAATTCTCGTAGACCAAAATACGACCGGCATATTGTTTATACAAAAATATTAAATTTCATACCTATCAAGTCATTAAGAGAAAATTTCCAATTTCCAAGACTCCGCTTTTTGTATTGACGGTGGTGCACGATATTGAGGATCTGAAAGGGCAATTATTAAAAAAAAAAAACAGTATAAATAACGACTAGAAGCCTACCTAAATCCTGTTTATTTTGTATTACTGCTGCAACGACAAATTCATTCTGATCCTCTTCATTAACGAAAACATCCGACCATATTTCAGGAATCCTTCTTATCATGAGATATTGTAATTCCCCCAAACGATTGTGGAGTTTCCTTGCTACGTTCAAATTATTATAGTGGCAAATTAGACAAATTTCCTTAATTTCGCAACCGAAATCAAACACCTCGTTGTACATCATGTGTAACACTCTTATAATAGCGATGTCTTCGTAAAAACCGCCTTGCTTCAGGTCAATTTTTTTCCTTTCTTCTTTTCGTTTGTTTTTAGATGACATCGTTGACCTAAAATAAGAGATAGTATGAGCAAAAATTCAGAAAACAGTCGGTTGCAAGAAAGTTTATTAAAATGTAGTAGGCAATTACGAATATGTTCAAACCCCATGGGAACTCCTTCATGTTTGAAGCTTTTAATACCAGATTTACTTCACGAAGGGCCGTTCTTAGGAGTGTATGTATAGGTTGTACAGGCACCACAAAGGCAGCCGCAGGCCGTCGACAAAAAAAGTTAAATTTAATTAGTTTTTGAATATAAAAATATGCAAAACTAAACATACTCGAGGCATTTTACAAAATCTAGGCTCTTTATATATTATGCATTCGTTTATTTTATGCTGCAATATAATAAAATAGTAGTTTGTGTTATAAGGACGAAAAGTTGAGTTTTACGGACGACTACGAGAAGGAGTCCTAAAATACACTTTTCGCCGTGTTTCATACACTATTTTTTATTCGAATGTGCTTATAGAAAGTTAAATCCAAATAATATTTACAATTTTTATTATAACTGAAATGGCTGTGATCGATAAGAATGACCAGGTAGGTATATTCTTGATAACAATTGCTGTCATGTTAGTGTGCTTAAGTCAAATCGATTTAGTTGTACTTTATTTAGTTTTAAAACATCCTCCCCCACGAAAAAGAGATCGGATGAGTAAGTGGCCAATTAAAAATAAATTTGCCATTATATTAAGTTTTAAATATAAAAATAAATGTATGAAACTAGATAAGTTACCGCATCGGTTTCAGTCTGGACCTGCTGGCAAACACGTCCCAACTCAGTGTTCTAGCCCTGTCCCTGTGCCCTGATGTACCTTGCTTACACTTTTATATTTACAAAATAATAAAATAAAAATTGACCTTTTTTGAAGGTATTGACATGGAAGTCCAAGTAAAATAACATGAATATAGTGATCCTGAAAGTGTCTCGTTGTAGAGATCCTCTGTATTAATAGTGAATAAAATTATGAAATAGGTATAGCAGCCTACGAGTGTCTTATAAGAAGAGTCACCCTGTATAAATTTATAGGAAGATCACCTTGTATAAATAAAATTGTAATCCAAGAGTGTCCTATGGGAAGATCACCCTGTATAAATAAAAATTTGTAATGTGGGTATGGCGACTAAAGAGTGTTTTATGGGATCATCGCCCTGTATAAAAAATATGAAAACTTTGTAAAGTGGGATTAGTAACCCAAGAGTGTCCTATTCTAAGATCACCCTATACAATGTCTCATTATAGAGTATATTTTGTAAAAAGTCAAAGAGATAGAAGGTAGAAATAGAATAAATGAAGAAATTAAAATCCGTGGAAATCGAGGACAAATTAATTGTCCGAGACTCCCATTATTATTTTTTCCCAAACAGCCCCCGGGTTATGGCGGTTAAAATTAAACATACTACAGTCCGCAACATTAAGGTTTGGGCACTGAATACCTAGGTACCTCTTACGAGATGCTCTAGGATCCAGGCCAGGGGTGGGTTTCACCGCGTCGCACTGACAAGTGTCGCCCTGTATGAGCGTAACACAGCATACGGTGGTTTGCGGACTTAGAAGAAGAGATAGAAAAGATTGACTCTAACGGTTGATAAAAAATAAACAAGAGGAAAGTTGGAACAAGGCGGTGAAATGATCAGCTGCTAACTAGTCAACTGTCATTGAGGTTAAACGTCCTCATACCTATGTAAAGGTACCACCTTGGTGATTATGCTAATGCTGCCATTTCATAAAATCGAACATTACCGTCTTTACCAGGGTAGAGGCTAGAGGCTTAACACTGTCTTAGGGTTAACATTACTTATTATTTATTATTATTTTAGTATCTTTGCTCAGAGAACTTATGTATTTACAAAAGAATAACTGCCATCGAGTTTTGTGTTGAGACCCAAAACGATCTGGTCTTTTTTAAGAAAATATATGCATGTCTACGTGCCAGAAACTGGTTGACCTTGAGTGGTTTCAAGCTGATGCAATTCGATGAACGCGATTATAGACAGACAGATAGACAGACAGGATACAGATAGGATATAGATAGGATACAGATAGGATACAGATAGGATGCAGATAGGATACAGATAGGATACAAATAGGATACAGATAGGATGCAGATAGGATGCAGATAGGATACAGATAGGATGCAGAGAGGATGCAGATAGGATACAGATAGGATACAGATAGGATACAGATATGATACAGATATGATACAGATAAGATACAGATAGGATACAGATAGGATACAGATAGGATACAGATAGGAAAGTAAAGACTTTTTTGAATATAAAAGGAATGTCACATCTGGTTTGTTAAAAATAATAATTTTTGGGAACTTCCAGTAAAGTTGAATAACGTAACAAGTTAGCGCTATAATATCACTGGAACGTCTACATTGTTTCATCACAAAAGTAAACGTTCCTACTCTGGGCTTAAACGGTTATGAGTCCGTCCTATAGATGAAAACAAGAGTAAAAATTATAGTTACAATGTAACAATGTGATGTAAAGTTTTTATTAAGTTAACGTTTTCATGCATAGTAGGTTTCCAAATGAAGATACATAAAATTAAAAGAGTGTACACACATAGAGTAAATAATATATTTTGTTTTTAATTTAGATCACTCGCAACTTATTGGCGAGTGCAAAATAATTAGATTTTGGGCAGAGTCGGAACATCTGGGGGGGGTACTTTATAGGTGGTCATTTTTATATTTTATGGAATATATCTGTTATTTACGTTTGGAGGAGAAAATTCTTCAAATAAAAGTTACTTACAATATTATAATATTTTTTATTCTATACAAAATTTTCCTAAAATGGTCCGTATTCGAGAAATTTGACAACATGTAAAAAAAATGATTTTTTATAAAAATTGTTAAAATAAAAGTTGATTGTAAAATAATTCTCTACAATTTTTATTCTATACATAATTTCTCTAAAATGGACCGTATTCGATATATTTTAGAAAATGTGTAAATTTCGAATTTTGAAGAAAACTCAAAAACGGATAAAGAAAAAAACATTAAATTTTAAACTTAAGTTTTATTTCGACCTGACGTGAAATGATTACATTTTTTACAAAGTCGGAATATTTGGGAGGGTACTTTATGGGAGGCCGTTTTTATATTTCATGGAATATATCTGTTATTTATGATTGGAGAAGAAAATTGTTCAAATAAAAGTTACTTCTAATATTATTATCTATAAATTTTGCTTTATGTCAAATTTTCCTGAAATGGTCCGTATTCGAGAAATTTGACAAAATGTACAAAATTCTGATTTTTAAGAAAATTGTTGAACTAAAAGTTGTTTGCGATATCGATCTCTATAATTTTTGTTTATACATGATTTTTCTAAAATGGACCATAATGGAAAAATTGGAGGAAAAGTTTTAAATTTAAATTTTTCAGTATTTTGCTTTTCAATGAATATCTATAAAAAAATGTTTCGAGGTAGATGTATGTGGAAAATATATACAGGGTGTACCAATAAAAACTCCCAGGCCGGATATTTTAGTAAGTAAGAGAGATATTTTAATTCTGTAAAAGCCAGTTCATAGAGCGCTAAGAGAGCTTTAGTTTTAGATATTAATTAATTTTAAATTTGTCAATATGTAGATGGCGCTGCGCTCAATATATTTTTTTCGATGGGAGGATCTTTCTTACACAACGCATCTTGTAAAAAAAGTATTTTAAAGCAGATTTTGTTTTATAAACTAATTCGATAAATCTAACCATTTTTGATATACAGAGTGGGTCACTCAAAACAGTCATATTTCTAAATTCTCCATAAAATTACCTTTTGAATGATGTGCCGTACATGATACATTCCTTATTTAAAATTAAAGGGTTTGAGAAGTAGAAGAGAGGGGGTTGACACATGACAGATGTATGTATTGTAAAAATGTGTTCAATTGGGAATAATAATCGACTTGTTTTAGCATTTTCTAAAAATCCAATGATTATTGCCGAAAAACAGGATGAAACTATTTTGAGTGACCCACTCTGTATATTAAAAATGGCTAGATTTATCGAATTAGTTTATTGAACAAAATCGGCTTAAAAAAGTATATTTTACAAGATGCGTTATATAAGAAAGATCCTCCCATCGAAAAAAATATATTGAGCGCAGCGCCATCTACATATTGACCCATTTAAAATTAATTTATATCTAAAACTGAAGCTCTCTTAGTGCTCTATGAACTGGCTTTTACAGAATTAAAATATCTCTATTACTTACCAAAATATCCGGCCTGAGAGTTTTTATTGGTACACCCTGTATATTTAGTTTATCCTCTAAACATTTATAGAGGTGCTGCAATAGGTTGTACAAAATAATCGGAAAAAGCCTACAATAACTAGATAGGAAAGTCATGTGTTGACATCAGATTTTTATATTATTTATTGATGATCTAAATTTTTTACTTGCGAAAAGTTATTTTTTGCAGATAAACTATAAATAAAAGACACACATGTATACTTACGCTCTAGATTTCGAAGTTTGTTGAGACGATGCTTTTGATCCTGATCTAAACGTTCCAGTTTCAGTTTCTGGATACAAATCGTCGTCGTCATCGTATTGGCCTGTGGCTACAGCGTGCAATTTATTAGCTCTTTCTTTTCTAATAACATTCAAACGATCTGAATGCGCTTCAAATTCTTTCCTATATGTATCGATTTTTTCATTTAAAATAGATATATATTCCGATAATTTCGGTAAAATCACATTAACTAAAAAGAAAATAAAATCTACAGTTATTCAGATTTGTTACATAGTTCAGTAACTGAAGGGACCAACCTGTCATTAAGTCGGTCCAGATTTCCGTTGTGGCTCAACTCTTAGGTCTCAGCGGTCGCTTCCAAGGTCGAAAACTTTTACCAACTCTGCTGCGTCGGAAAGGGCCCAAAATGAACCCTAAAACTGGTTTCCCGCCAATATCTTCCACAATATGCAAATTAGAGAATTTTTGTTTAGATAAAAAAGAAAGATCTTATCATTATCTACAAAAATGGTCCCTATCATTTTTGTCGGGAATTCGACAGGTTTCGAGATAACCACAATCAAAAGTCCCCTCGTTCAGCCCCTGCTTTATCTCTATAGCAATGCTGATTAGCTTGTAAACGGGTGGACAAATTGTTTCAGAACTCGGTCAAAAATTGATATTTTTCGATGATTCAAAGTTCACTACAATGGGAAGACCCATAGGTATCGATCCATGTGCCTTGAAGCCCGTTATTTCCTGTCAAGAACATTGAAAAAGGGGTCAAAGTTGCGTTTTCCCACTATTTTGGACCACTTTATAGTAATTCATTCATTTTTTTTTTCTTTTAATAGTTTTTTATCCCATTTTTGTTTTAAATGGGATTTTGAGATGTTTCGAATGATCTCAGATTTTTTTTTCCAGTATCTTCCTGGCGTTTTAAAACAAAATTGATTTGTTTATTTGCATTTTTCATACGTTTTCGGAGTTCTAGAAATCTCTGAAACAAGCAGTAATTAAAAACTCATATTTCATTATTTTGTTATTCAATGCACACCATTTTAAAAAAATACATTCGAAAAGTAGACACTCTAAGCTTTAGAGTTCTGAAACAATTTGTCCACCCGTTTACAAGGTAATCAGCATTGCTATAGTGATAAAGCAGGGGCTGAACGAGGGGACTTTTGATTGCGGTTATCTCGAAACCTGTCGAATTCCCGACAAAAATGATAGGGACCATTTTTGTAGATGATGATAAGATCTTTCTTTTTTATCTGAGCAAAAATTCTCGAATTTGCATATTGTGGAAGATATTGGCGGGAAACCAGTTTTAGAGTCCATTTTGGGCCCTTTCCGACGCAGCAGAGTTGGTAAAAGTTTTCGCCCTTGAAAGCAACCGTCAAGACCTAAGAATTGAGCCACAAAGGAAATCTGGACCGACTTAATGACAGCTTTGCATATTTTCAGGTCTTCAGTTACTGGACTAACAGTAATTTGCACTCAAAACAAAATATTTTTCTTACCTATCAGATCATTTTCCCTGTAAGTTTCGGCCAGACATATGGCTTTCCTAAAGGAATTATGCTCTACAAGTACATCTATAGCTGCTCGATAATTTTTGCCATACGTTTCTAAAACTATCACAGCATCATCTAACAGTTTCCCTTTGACCAACTCAGCGGCCACGTCTACGTACACTTTTTTCGATTCTTCTTCACTTAAATTCAACAGAGTGCAAATGCTGGTTATCTCCCTCCAATCGAGACCTAGTAAAAACACATTTTTCAACTGTCAATATTTTCATAAAAGAACAGAATGAAAGGATGGTTTGCCCAACGAGGAACAATTCTGGACCAAAATTGCAAAGGCAAAGGTTTATGTTAAAAATGTGAGTCACTCTCTACAATTGTGGTATTTGACTGTAGAAACAACTTTGCAAAAAAAATTACTAACCTTTTTTATACTCTAGAAGCGCTTCCTTGTATCTACCAGCCCTTTTCAATATTACCCCAGCTTCCGTGTGCCTCTTCAAAATCGACAACCTATTCGCGTACAGCTCACTAATCAGCATGAAATGTTTGTGATAATCATCCAAGGAAAAATACGCGATATCCTCTAATCGGTTCTTAATAACGAAATTGGTAATGTAGGATTCTTCGACTGTATCAGATCTTAGAAGATATTTTATAGACGACGTCAAGTTACGTCCTCTTAAACTCATTTTAAACCGCCGTTCCATGGGTCCCATCGTTTTGTAGTTTCTGATTTCGGGTTCGTATATTTTCGGATCTTCTAAACTATTGTGGTAAACTAGAGTGAGAAAGTCTAAGTCATATAGATTATAAGCAGCGTTTTCTACATCTTTAAAATGTTCTTGTATCAATAATTGTTTGATCGTTTTACTACAAACTTTTTCGTTTTCTTGTTTATTTGCTTCATATATATCTTTTATAGATTTCAAAGCCGCTTTTAATGAAATATGTTTTTGTTGTGTAGCTACAATACTAGACAAGTTGTTGATACAATCTGTGGTTACTAGGTAATTCAAAATATCTTCTATAATAACTTTTTTATCGAAATTTCGATTTTGAAAATCGTTCGGAGAATAGTTTTTATAAAAAGTTTCAAAACAGTTTTCTTTCGTATTGAATTCGGTTACGATGTTACTCAGCATCGTGTTGTTCTTAGCGGCTCTAACAAAGTCCTCTATATGTTCTCTAAATCGTTCCGGATTTAAATCGATTAGAACGTTCCAGTTCACTTTTTCGGTCCTTAATATTTGAAGCACTTCAGCCCACTGATTCTTTTTGAGCATACCTTCCACCACATCTATGGTTATCAATTTGCAACCGATAGTCTCGATATTCCCCCTAGGTAGTTGAAGAATTATTTGTGGGAATAGTAAATTGGTACAGGCTACGATAGTAGCACCTTGTTCGATTTCTCTGCTGAAAATTTTATTCAGATATATCGGCGAGGTATATAAAGTATGATCTTTCAATCGTATGCAATATAACTTTGCTGAAGAATGCGTGAAAATTAGGTAACCGTCGAATATATACAATGACGTTACTCCGGTACAGACCACAGAATCGTTGACAGTAAAATCTTTATAAGCAGACAGAGCAAATTCATAATCGATGTAGATATCGTTTTGTAGTACTTCATGCTTAGTTAGATAAATATATTTACTGGCGTTATCTAAGTGTTTGAAAGAGACTACAAGAGGTGTATCATTGTAAGGCAATTTGATGCAGGGATCATTAATGTTTTCATCAACCCTCACATAAATAGAAATATCACCTATTTTAGTAAAAATCGGTTCTGAACCAGCTTCATTTAAAAATAAAACTTCTACAATGTCACGGCTCCATTCAATCGAGTGCAATTTGACAATCCCTTGAAAAGAATAATCGGCTACGCTTCCAAGGACTTCTAAGCGACCGTCTTTAGTAATGTCAATAACTTTTATGTGGTTAAAAGAATCGATAATAATACAAACTCTATTTGTAGGATGAAATAGAACTCTGTTTATAGGCTTACTGTGTCCAAACGAGTCGTAATAAATAGGCGGTGGTGTAATTTTTTTGTCGTATAAGTAAAATTCCAAATTTCTACCATTTACTACAGCTACGGTACCAGAAAGAGGACATCTAGATATTAGGAAGCGAAAATAATGATATTCGACATCTCTAGAAGTAAATACAACCATTTTGCATGTGGTAAATAAGTTTTCTTGTAAGTTTAACCAACAGAAGTCATGGAGTATACGTTCCGGAGGGTAGTATAATTGTTGTTTTAAAAACCATTCTCCATTGGAGAAAAGGTAGATGTTGATAAAATTGTTGTTGTTTTCGTCAAAGAAAGCTATAGCTAACATGTTCATGATGGGGTGGTACAAGAGTTTTTTTATGGATCCCTAAAAATGAAACAAAACAACAGTTTTTAATATATCAAAATAAATAAATTGGTAAAGATGATAGTCAAAATGTATAATAATAATACTCTCCCTAATTCACCTACTTGCGAGTGAATTTTTACCCCAAAATTGAACTTGTCCGTGGAAGGGACGGCTATTATTATTATTTGCCGTGGCGCTTCGGGGCGACTTAAAGATGATTGATGGTGCTATTTGACTTGCAGGTAAGGAAAACCCCACCCATCATCATAGAAACGATAACGCATGACGATTTTTATAATCTGGATGTCACATCAACAAAAATTAAAGGACCCCGCAATAATCTTATGGAAATTGGGTTTCGGTCAAATTGTCTGAATTTTTGATATGTTGTAGATTTTGTCATCCTGAACAAAAGTCTCCATGGGCACAAAGTGCCAAAATGAATATTTTGGCAGCTACGGTGCTGCCAAAGCTCCCGTGACCCGTTTCAAAACTATTCATTTTCAATACTATTTACAGATGTCAAAAGCATATTTTAATTATTCTAATATATAGGGTAATGTTTTTGAGGTCACTAGATTCAACCCTCATGTCAGATTGGACAAATTGACCGTTGACAGCTGTCAATACCCTAATAACGAAGAATAGAGAAGTAAATAATCTCTGTTGACATTAAGAGTTTGGGTTCTTGAGGTTGCTGAATTCAATCTCATGCCAGATTGGAATAATTGACAGTTGACAGCTGTCAATTGACTGTCAACTCAATGTCAACAGAGAATATTTACTTCTCTATTCTTCGTTGACAGTGAATTGACAGCTGTCAAACTGTCAATTTTTCCAATCTGACATGAGAATTGAATTCAGCGACCTCAAAAACCCAAACTCTCAATGCGAAAAGAGGATGTTTACTTTTATATTCCTCGTTGAGAGTGAATTGACAGCTGTCAACGGTCAATTTGTTCAATCTGACATGAGAATTGAATTCAGCGACCTCAAAAACCCAAACTCTCAATGTGAAAAGAGGATATTTACTTTTATATTTATCGTTGACAGTCAATTGACAGCTGTCAACTGTCAATTTTGCCAATCTGGCATGAGAATTGAATTCAGCGACCTCAAGAACCCAAACTCTCAATGTCAACAGAGAATATTTACTTTTATATTCTTCGTTGACAGTGAATTGACAGCTGTCAACTGTCAATATTTCCAATCTGAGATTAGAATTGAATTCAGCTCCCTTAAAAGTCCAAACTCTCAATGTCAACAGAGAATATTTACTTCGTTGACAGTGTATTGACAGCTGTCAACGGTCAATTTGTCCAATCTGACATGAGGGTTGAATCCAGTGACCTGAAAAACATTACCCTACATATTACAATAATTAAAATATGCTTTTGACATCTGTAAATAGTATTCAAAATAAATAGTTTTGCAAAGGGTCAGGGGAGCTTTGGCAGCTCCGTAGCTGCCAAAATATTAATTTTAGCACTTTGTGCCCATGGAGACTTTTGTTCAGGATGACAAAATCTACAACATATCAAAAATTCAGACCATTTGACAGAAACTCAATTTCCATAAGATTATTGCGGGGTCCTTTCTGCTAATACGGCATCCATCAAATCAAATCATATAGAGAACCATGCAAATAAATTCACATGGTCTTCTGTAGGATTCGAAGCCAGTGTGTATCTTACCACAAAATTGCTCGCAAATGAATGTGAGCGCGTTAGACACCTACGCCACCGATTATATTGTTTATAATTTTGAGAAGAAAATTTTAAAAGTGCTGCAAACTTGAAGCAATATATTATACAGGGTATTTCCGAACTTGGCGTCCAAATTTGTAGGGGTGGTAGTTCGCATAATTTGAGAGCGATTGGCAGATTTCATTTTTCTAAAAAAATTATAATAAACAAAATAGAGCCATTATAAAAAAAAATCAAAACGGGGTTAATACCCTGAGCGCGTAGCGCAATAGTTTCCTGATCGGTTACTCATCGGGATTTACAACTCAAAAACAGATGCGATTTGCAAATTTCTCCCTCCGCCCGGCCGGTATCGAAAGACGTAGCCGATTGTTTTTCTAATGCGTATTGCTCGAGGCAATCCCATCGCTGTGCAGGACCGTATTAAAATTTTTAATTAATTTTAATCTATTTAAACTGCCAAAAACCTCCATTAAAAAACATTCAAGTTGCCGAAACTTCTCCACTAAGAATAATTACCAAGATGCGACATTCAAAAAGCCCCACACACCATCCAGCGAATGAATATCTCTACAAAAAACAAACTAAGATTCAACCTATCCTGGAAAAAATCATAAAACTGTCAAAAACATTTTCGATAAAACGAAACAATCAAATGTTAATAAACATTTGTTCGATTTAACTCCAAATTGGACAAGCAAAGTTTAAATACCCAGTAAGAACAATAACAGAAATCTTGAACAAATTTGCTGATGAACAATAATTAGTGATACATATTTTTTTTTATTTTTAAGTAGTTATCTAAATCAGTATTTCCCAAAGTGGTCCGGGTGGACCTCCAGGGGTCCACGGCAGACTCGACGGGGGTCTACGTTGGGCGTAATAAAAAATGGGGTTCACAATCTTAAGCGGGGTGCATGAAAATTAATTTGGTTTCGATAGCGAAGCAATATACTATTAAACAATTTGATTACTCATTTTTCCATGTGATGAAGAAATTATTGTAAAAAACTTCAATTGTTTATCATATAAACAGTCAACATTTTAGTTACTAAAATGTTGACTTGACTTCTCTTATCAATATATAGGCAGATAATATTTTAAGAAGCTCAGCGACTGTTACTTGTAAAAACTTGCATATTCCATGTTCAGTATAACGCGTCGAGACTTGTCGTTGCCTCGCCTGCCGCCGTCCCGTCCGCAACGCTTGTTCAGACGTGCAAATTAATACGACTTGTGGTGTATGTGCTTACAATCTTGCATGAACCTGTTTATTTCTTCACCAATATAAATACGAATGTCAAGGATAATCGTTACTCATTTGTTTCTGGAATTTCATAAAGAAAAGTGAATCGATATCAGTGTTGGCCAGTGACTGAATTTGTTTTCAGGCTTACGAAAAGAAAAGTGAATCGATATTAGTGATTGCCAGTGTCGGAAAAGTAAGTACCTACCTGCCTATTTATTAAATATGCATATAGTTTTAAGCCGAGAAAGATTGAACTCATCATCCTTACTTTATTTTTATTACCTATCTAATTCATTTAATTATTGCGGAGTTTGATATCAAAATTGTGACGAAGTCACTAAATTTTATTTTTAATTCATCTTAAAAATGTATATTTCAATTAATTCCCGCCTGAGAACATATAGAAGTTCCCCCGTATTTCTGTTTCCCAAAAATGACCGATTTTCAAAATATTCTTTTATTTGCCGAAATCCGAATGGGCATTTTTAGAGTCGATTTCGTATGAATTATCTACTTTTAATTGTCAAGGTACAAGAAGGACATTTTTTGTATTTCTGAATTGTAAACAGTCGGCTGTAGTAGTGGTATCCCCACTTTGTCGTACTAGTCTTCCATCCTTCTTTACCGAAAAAGCATAAATTGATGGAAAGCTAAAAATGCCGCCTCTTGACTCCCGACACCCGAGAAGTACTGATCTTTCTAAAAATTATAGTGACGACGCCGCGTAGTGCCGTGACCGTAAATAAGTAGTTGGTTAACCCGTTGGATTTGTTAAGGTAGGAACCGTATATTTTTTTTATATTGGCTTTCATATAATTAATTGGGACACCCGTGTTACAAATCAAGAATTTTGATTCATGCCCAGTATTTTTTATTTCATTCCTTAGTGGAAACCGTTGGCAATTTTTTATAAGAAGCACCCAGTATTTTTCATGTAAATTTCTCTTTTCTTTTATTTACTCATTCAATTGTATTTGAATCATTCCGTTCTCCGTCCACGACTGATTATTGAACGAAGCCGACGATTTCTGTAAAATCAATTCACACACCGTCAAATCTCAAAATAATTTTTACGTTAACCATTGTATTTTTCTCCCAAACATTTGCTTGCATTTGATTACCGTCATATTTCAATTGTTTTCGAGTGTATTAATTTATTTTTAATAATCTATTTTCGCGTTAATCAGGAGGTGATAGCGGTATTCGCTTGCTTCCTCCTGTCGATAAAAGGTTTCTCTCTTGTAGAAGCTATGGACTACCAGATGTCTACATGAGAGAGACTTTCAACCGTTAATATTAATTAGTTTTCATTGATAATAATTTATTTTTAATCAATTTTCCGCATATAGGGAGCCGTTAATATTTAATTAGTTTTCATTGATAACAATTTATTTTTAATAAGTTTTCGCATATAGGGAGCCGTTCATATTTAATTGCCGTTGTATTATTAATTTTTGTAAATATATATTTTAGTACCTATTCCTGTGTTTCTCTTATTACTGGTTCTTAACCGTTCTCTTTCAGGGTACCGTAGGGTACGAGGTGTAAAGGAAATAAGTGTTTTATTTTTATTTATTCTAGTATAGTGGCTACCTAGCAGTGACCGCCTGGAATTATTTTTACCTCCACTGAGTTCACCTTGAGTACACTCTGGTGTACCAAAGGGTCGCAGAGCAAACTGCGATATCAAAACTGGCGCCTGAGCAACCCCTATTTGGGAATCACCTTCATAGCGCCACACAGACTCGCTGATTCACTGTAGGTGAACCTGAAGCCTGTCACGAAATATTGTTTAAAAGTTTCTATAGAATTTACAGAAATATTTTTAAATATAATCAGTAGTAATACTATAAGCACTTCAAAATAATCAGGTTATACATCGATAACTTGTTGCATAATTATAAAGAGTGTCAGTTTGACAGTTTAGCGAAGCGGGAGGATTATTCTGTCAAACTGACACGATTTGTAATTATGCAGGAAGTTTGAGAGGTATAACCGTATTTATTTTGAAGTACGTATTGTATTTGATACGATTATTTTTTGAGTAAATTAAGTAAATATCA